TGGCAAGAGATGGCTACGGCAACACACTCAACTCGTCAAGGGCGAACCGATGTTGATCATTAGGGCTGGAACGGAGAGTACTGAGGCAATCTTGATACCGCAGAAGTCCCAGATTACCTACCTTGGCATCGTCGCAGCATACGACAACTTCAGGTGGAAAACAGTGCAACATCGCTTATCTGTGTCGGAGCTGCAACGGCATCGACTGCTCAGGATCCTCCATGCCAGGCGCCATCTCAGCACCAGTATGAGACTCAAGCTTTGGAAGACTACGGTGTGGGCTTCCATGATGTATGGCATACCAGCAATCGGTCTGGATGATAGAAGTGCTGAGGTATTGGTACGTAAAGCTCTCAAGCACATCCGAGCGATTACCAACGATCAGGTCCATATCACGGGCACCAGCCACATGAAGTTGCTCACTCAGTGGGGCCTTCAACACCCACTCGTGGAACTGCATGAACGCTCTGAGGCCTTGCTTACCTATGCCCAGACTTCGGTGGACCCAATGGTCAACAATAAGCAGGCCCTGACGTGGCTCACCAATGTCACAGCGGACTTTCATGCACGTGCCCGAGCAGCTATTGCCCAGGATAACAATGTGTTCGATGTGCCGGAGGGCGCGGTGCTTCCCTCGGAAGGCACTGCCCCTGGTGAAGTCGTATCCTCCAGACATGGCACCTATATCGCAACATTCACTTGTGAGCATTGCTTACTCTCATTTGGTACACTCAACATCCTGAAGCGACACGTTCAAGAGCAACACTGTCGGCCCATACCTTCACGCAGTACGCCTTTTGATAGAGTTTGCCACTCAAAGGCGGGGATGCCTCAATGCAGACATTGCGGCAACAAATATAACAGCTGGAGCCACTTGGAACGACACATCCAGGAGAATAACTGCTCAGAGCTTTGGCTCAAGGAGCATAGGGAGACTACACAGTCCGACCCGACGCCCTCCAGCCCCAAAAGCAACCCCACCATCTCCCCGCCCCCCCTGCCTGCAGGGCCCGCGGGCACTTCGGGTAAGAGATCACGGAGCATGTCACAGCCCAGGGAGGCGGCGACTTTCCCACTCACACCCATGGATCCAGCTGATGTTGAAGAGGCTGATTGTGCACCCCTCATACAAGACCCTGAAGCCTTGGATGCTAGCATTTCAAAGGGATGGCTGGCTCCTCTATCCAACCCCCAATGGGCACAAACTCTGGGGCGTCATTGTATCATTTGTCACCAATGGCTCGCGGACCCGAAGCAGATGAAGATACACATACAGCGCATTCATAAAGCAGCATGGATCGAACACAAAAAGAGAGCTGACGACCTCTGCATGACACAAATGGGTATGATGCGCAGCCCGTGCTTACACTGCTCCGCTACCACCAAGAAACCGAGGCAACATGCTGTCACATGTACTGTGCTGTGGCAGGTGGCGCTGCTCCATTGTTTCGGCGTCCCTGCAGACCATGACTCGGGCCTAATTGTTCCAGAGCATCCTCCTGTGCAAATCATGGACGCCAAGGCCCCCAGTCCGGGAACTCACTCGACGCCTGATGCGGAGACTCCCGCCGGAGATGATGAAGGTCCTATCTTGCAACGTCCTTGGGTCGTGAACTTCATCAGTTCCCATGGTTGGCAGGATATGATGGTGAAGACGTCGCTGAGAGATGAGCTTGATTGTACGTGTGTCGTGTGTGGCAAAACTCCTGCGAACCGTACTCTAGTTAAATCGCACTTCCGAAAGACGCATGTGCAGCTTTGGAATGACTTTCATCAGAAAGCCGATGATATGTGCAAGCTTTTGGTTCCCAATGCGGTCACCCCCTGCCGGTTCTGTGGGCACGAAGTCTCCAAGCCGAGAGGTCATGTTCTTGGTTGCACTGTCGCTTGGCAATGTGCGATGCTTCAATGCATTCTCCGAGGTCAGCATGACATTGACGGCCGCGGACGAGGAAATGTTGCTCTTTGGGACGCAGCTCCCATCAGTGAAGCGCATGATGCAACAGCAGGAGACAGAAAGCCAACAGGATCAAGGTCACCACAAGCGCCTCAGGGGAACGGGTCAGGGCAAGGGGCGAGGTCACAAGGGCAGAGCCCCCAAGAAGTCAGGCCAGGATCACTTGATGAACGAGGTGGAGACTTCCCTTCTGGATGCCATGATGCGCCTCTCCTTGAAACACGAGGATCTGTGGAATCGTCTTCAGCAGGACACCACCCATGCATGGACATTCGAGAACACCCAGGATGCCTCCAACACCATTCCTCTGCTTTACAATGTGGCACAGCAGTGGAAGAGTTTGAAGGAAAAGGAACCTCAGAAGCTCACGCGCAACCTGAGAACCACTGTGATGTTGGGTTTATTGCAGGAGCTCCACACCCGCGTGCAACGAGTCAAGGACGTGGAAGGGGCAGCACATCAGGCAACGGGAAGGGGATGGCTGCGTCAAGGCAGCTGGCTTTACATGAAATGGGACGCGGACAGTCAGCAGCTAGTGGAGGACAAGGAGCGCGAGCCTCTCCCAGCAGATATCATCCTCGGAACGTTGAACGAGGCGGTAACGTTCCTCAAGGAAGGCACCCTACTTCACAAGTTTCAGGCGACGAGGCCACTGGTACAGGACATGAAAGGGGAGGTGCTCACATTCTTGTCGGAGCTATCGGTCAGGGGGCAGACGTCGGATCGCATGTTCGAAATCCTCCGGATGTGGGAAGGAAATGCCGCCTTGAAGATGGTAGGAGTCCGCATCAGGGGTGCCAGGCCTCAGAGATCGAAGATGGCAAACCTCATCCAGCAGTACTTGGACCAACGCTGAACATGAGGCTAGTGAATCCTGGAAACCATTGTTATATTCATGCCACGGTTTTGTCATGGATTTGGTGTTCTCATCACTACCTGCAGGGCGGCACAGAATGCTTTGGATCACTTCGTCAGGCCTTCCATAGTCTTATGACGATGCCCA